TGAGGAGGAAACTTTAGGGAAGCCAAGAAAACGTGGAAGCAGCCTGTGATCACCTAACATCCTTTAAAAACATATGAAACACACTCACTATCTGCCTTTGCTTGGTGTCTCAGAAATGCTGCATGACAGTAAACAACACTTCTGATTGTTTTGGTTTTCGTTCTGCTACTTTTAAAAAAAATTAATTTCTATGCATTTCATGGAACATTTGTTGGTTATTATGACAGATATGAGTGTAAAGAGCCTTTAAAGAGGTTTGTTCTGTTGTGTTTTCTTTTGTCCTTCAAATAATTTTGCCAAATAAGCCTGGTGTCGAATCTTTGCCATGGTTCCAGACATGAAAAAGCTTTTATTTTCGCTGCCAGGACAACAGAGAAGGTTAAAGACCTGACAGAACCGCGTCTCCTGACTCCTCTGTTTTATTGTCCTCATTCCGTTTTCGACAAAGACATTTTCAAGACTCAGCAAAAGAGGAAATATAAAGACTTGCACTACAATATTTTGTTGTTTAATTTACAGTGATGCACTACAATGTCAAGATAATGTGGCGTTTTATTTATTACGGACTCTTTAATGGCCATGGTTACTGATGCCTTGGGAATGAAAAAAAAAACAGTAATGCAATCATCCTTCTGTTTTCAGCCATTTTTTTTATTTTACTATTTTATGTTTGATAAACTTGAAAATAACTTTTTACTGTATGTGATTATAAACTATATAATATATATTTACACAAATATATATATAAATAATGTAAATGTATGAAAGATTTTCTTTTTTTGGATATTTATTACTGTGAACATGGTATTTACACTTTGTTACATCTTTGTTTTTTGTTTTGTTATTTTTTTTGTTTGTTTTTTATTTTGGGACAAAGGATAATAATAATGTATTAAAGGACCAGGATTGAAAACAAGATGCCAGATTTTTTCAAAGGCTGTTTCACTATTTAATGTAATTTGTTTTTCTATATGAAGAAATAAAAGTTGATTTATTGCTGACATCTTTAAATTGCCTCATGCAGTTAATTATTTCCTTTCACAAATCTTTGAGGTCGGTTTTATATCTTAGGGATTAAACTTGAGACGGAGCAGAGCCTCTGTTGTAGGTTAGACTGCAAATGAGTTCAAGTTTATGTTGACGTAGATGAAGCTGAGTCATCAACAGTGATTTCAAGTGACCAAACTTGTGATCAGTGCGTGCAGTGAAAAGGTGACTTTCTGTGGTTTACACCGTTACAGTGACAGATCTGTATCTATTAAGTTTTACTACCATTTTAAAACTGAACTTTCTGAAATGAAAGTCAATTATCTGTCACTGATTCACACCATGAAATGTGACCTCTGCCTTTAACCCAGTGGTTCTCAATTATTTTCTGTCATGCCCCCCTCCTCACCCTCCTCTGACCCACATCCCCGCAAACTGAAATACTATAGAGTCTACTGCCTAATGTAATGTAATACCAGGCTTGGAATTAATTAAATTAATCAAAATGTATCTAAAGAGGACAAAATATTTGAGTGGACAATAACAAACGTGATGTGAGTGAAATCATTAATTATAAATATATTCAATGTGATTAAAGCATAGGTAAAAATCCTGAGATATAAAATACAAAATACTTTATAGAAATAATTAATGAGCCATAGCTGACCCACTGACCAGACTTTGGATACTATGCCTAGTTAATATTAACCTCAACAAGCAATAAAATCCGATATTTTCCATGTAAAAACAGTGTTAAAACTATTAGAGCAGAGACAGATGATGTGTTAAAACTATTAGAGCAGAGACAGAATAACATTTAACATCAATGTAGTAGATAATTTTTCTTAGAAATTGTAATTCTGTGAAAGTCAATCTATATTTTATCTTTATTGGTGAAGTAAACAAACAGGTTAAGACATGTTCATGTGTTTGTGTCATGGTACTTAGGTACAGTCAGGCTCCGCCCGCCTCGGTTTCTGATTGGCTGTTGGTGCAGCATTCCTCAGCGTTTTTCGACGCAATATATAAACGTTCCTTGCCTTTGGATGAAGCTGTACTCGCTCGGCGCTGCTGACTCACTACGAGGAAGGAAAGGTGAAACAAATTCGCTCATTGACAATAAAACTACACTGTTCTCATAAAAATATAACTTATGTAGCGCATGTTTTTTTTACATCTCTGTCGTGCTTTTAAAACTCAATGTCGGTCTTTCGTTAGCTTGTTGTTGTAGCTTCCGTTAGCCTAAGCTGGAATACCAGTCACATGACCTACGGCGCCGCAGGTGGCACGCCTTTGTTGTTGTTTATCTCTGTGTCAACTTGAACTGTCGAATAATAAATGTTAACGGTCTAACTCGTCTGTAATGTTGCCAGTCTGATGTGACAGCAGTAACCCAGCTTCGATTAACAGTTTTTTTTCTTTATTGTCATTGATATTTAGGAACCTCAGAAGAAAAGGACGAGAGGAAATGTGTCAGCAGGTTTCCTTGCTCCTGCTCGGCCTCAGTCTAGGCCTGGTCACTGCTTTTCCCTCCCAACAGCCTGACGCCGAGAAACACTGGGTATTGATTGTGGCCGGGTCTAATGGCTGGTTCAACTATAGACACCAGGTGAGAAAAAGAGTTGGAGCGTCAGCAGAAAAGACCTCAGGTGCCTGAAAAACAAACACAGTTTCAGAGCTCCAACGACAGACGTTAAGAAGACGACACCTGCTGTTACCACCAGTTGGTTGTCTTCTTCCTTTCCTTTACGTGACACAACTTCTCCACTATGTCTTTGTTGTTGTTTTGTGAGAGTCACTTCCTCCTTTAAGCATAAAACAAACTTTTATTTTCTCAATTTAAAATTGGACATTGGACATAGTTTCTACTGACTGACTGACAGTGTGTTTTTTTCTGTTTCTCTTTCAGGCCGATGTGTGCCATGCTTATCAGATCGTCCACAAGAATGGTGTCCCAGACGAGCAGATTGTAGTGATGATGTACGATGACTTGGCTCAGAATGAAGAGTGAGTTTTACTTATTATTGGATTTATTTTTGGATGCCATAAAAGAGAACTATTCAGTTCAGTGGCTTCTTTGTTCCTCTTTACTTTTTTGTGCTGATCTGTGGTGCATTATTGGATATGTGCGTTAATGTAAAGGTGACGGATCCTCTTTTGAATCACACCTGAAGGTCAATGACTACCAATATTAACAGGTAAAAAGTAAAATTTTACAAAATATCTAAGGGTATTTTAGAGTAATAATTGTTCATACTAATAAAAATAAACTGACCGATTAATCGATTGCAAAAATAATTAGTGGATTCCGCTTAATTGTAGAAAAGTTTGAGATGAACATAACATGTGAGAAGCTGGACCCTAAGAATATTTCAAATCTGATTTATTCTCACCACATCTTAAAACTTTCCCTAATCTAATGGATTAAAGATTTGTGTGTTAATTATAATAAACGTGTAATTACTTTTTAAGATGCTAAATAGCTGAACCAAAACCTAAAGCTAATAATTTCACCCTTCTGTCTGTGACTGATTTTTCTACACATTTCTCATGTCTGTGTTGAATGCCGGCCCTTTGTTTCACGTGGTCACAGCAGCAGCAGTGAAAGTCAGTGAAGACTGACCACTTGAATGGAGTCACATGAACTTATTTAGGTGCAGCTTCGGGACAGCATCAGTCTGAGTCCTGTTCCTAAGCTGCAGTGAAAGAAGATCCACATGTTTCAGACACTGAGGATCACTGTTACACACTGACAACCACAGTACGACGCCGGGGCGGACGGCTGCTCTGTTAGGTTCAGTGTCGGTTTGTCCTTTATGTTTGTCTTTTCTCCTGCCTTTGTCCACTTATCTCCAGCGTCCCTGCTGTAACCTTAGCTGTTGCTCTCTGCTGTTATTTCATGCCAGTCAGTGGTGAAATGAACGGGGCAGTTATGAATGCCCCTGATTCACTTCACCTTTACTTACTGCATGCATGTTTTGTTTTTTTCTTCTAAACCCTGAAGCAGCAACACTGGTCGTTTTAATATCTCTGTCATGTGCCTGGTGAGTGACATCATTTTCCAGCAGTAATCATGGTTAATAAATCACTTTTCTTTCCGCTTTGCAAACAACAGTTTCAGTGCCCACTTCTTGATAAGTTCTCTGGTTGATCTACAGATAAATAGAGAGTGTTGTGAAAGCCAAACAAAGGAGGAAAAACCCAAAGTAGTTGAGTCAGGGACAACTGGTTTTCCCGCTGACATTTCATGTCTCTTCTAAGCAGCTACTTCAGTTCTAACTAACTGCTGGGAATGTTTCTGGTATTTAACCTCAGAGGTTTTTTTTTCTTCCAGGAACCCCACACCAGGGATTGTTATCAACAGGCCCAACGGCACCGACGTATACAAGGGAGTTCCCAAAGATTACACCGGGGAGGTGGGTGACCCTGTAACATGTTTAGTGTTATTGTTCAATCAGAACTGTCCAATCATCTCTTTGGGGGGGAGGGGGCTTTGGTGCAGGATGTGACTCCAGAGAACTTCCTGGCCGTGCTGAAAGGTGACAAGTCAAAAGTCAAAGGGGGCTCAGGAAAAGTCATTAAAAGGCAAGTGAATAAATCTGACACAACAAACCCCACCTAATTATCAGGTTTTATGAGTTCTTCTCACCTTCTACAATTCTTCTCTCGGCAGCGGGCCCAACGATCACATCTTTGTCTATTTCACTGACCACGGGGCCCCAGGACTTCTGGCCTTTCCTGACGACGAGGTGACTTTTCTCACACTAACATTCACTCGTGTCACGAGCCGACTCTATGGAAACAAACTGATCTGGAGTTGTTCGGCTGGTTTGGTCTGATAATTATCTCATGTTCAGTCATGTGACGTCTTTATTGACAGTATTTGATTTGACAGTTTTATAGTACTGGAAACTGCACATTTAGAACTGGTTCCTATTTTTTAACCAATTACATTTTTTTTGGCAGAATATTAAGATAGTAACCGGTAACATTACGTGACATTTTTTATTTTCACTGCAAAAATCAGAATATTATATACACATTTCTTTTAGAGCAAGAGACCATGTAGAATACTAGTGACCACCTCTGCACTTGTTCACAACAGTACTAGTAACAGGGATAAGTGACAGTTGCTGGAGTGATTTGCATTTACTCTAAAAGTTCCAGGAACTTTTAGCACCTCCACGGCAAATGTTCCTACAATGACATTACTATCTAATAGATCTACCATCCAAATTAATCAGGATTCACAACTGTTTGGCGAGCGTTCAGATACTGTCTGAGGTGTGGCAATGAAGCAAAAACAATTCACACTTTGTGTGAAAATAAAAATGTGCGTATTGATTGTGTATTAGGGCAACAACAGATGGATGGACGGGGCAATTGTGCAATCATTCTGACCATGTGTTAAAAATTGGAATCTGATTAATCTTAATTTTATAATTTCTGAAGCCCTACTAGTAAAAACAGTACAAATCCTGTTTCTCGTTCCTCTCTCAAGCTCCATGTTGAGGATCTCCAAGAAGCCATCAAATACATGCACGAAAATAAGAAGTACAAGAAGGTAGGCACTGAGATGCTGCCGTGTGCCTTTGAGTTCATGTGTCAGTACATTGTGTGTGTGTGTGTGTGTGTGTGAAATAGTCAGTGATGAAAGTCAATCAGATCCAGTGAGCTTCCATGTCTCTCTCCTCTCCAACACCTCCTCCCTCTTCCCTGACGTGATCAGATGGTTTTCTACATCGAGGCCTGTGAGTCTGGTTCGATGATGACCGAACTGCGGGCTGACATTGATGGTGAGTTGAAAGTCTTCTCATCAAGTTCACCTCAGTCAAAGCAGGAGATTAACAAACGTCCCCATGGATGGAAGTCTTTTACAAACAATGAGCTCCTCTGTAAGTTACTGTTGGGAATGATCACCAAGCATTTTCACGCTTGGTGGTGGACGGGAGAAGGTCCACTGACTCCTGGCATTAGCTGCAGCTCCCCAACACCCTGAAGAGGAACAGGTGGTAGAAGATGAACGAACGAATGAAAGAATGACTGACTGACTTTAAAGCTGGGATTTATGTTGTTCTTTTGCAACACATTTACTTTACTGAGCTTCTTTATTTGAAGAAGGAAATGAATTATAATCCAGAGGGTTGGGTTAGGTCTAAGTTTCCTCCTTTTTATTTCCTTTATCACAAATGTATGTGTGTGTGTCATCACTTAGTTGGCTAAAGTCTAACAGTCTCTCTCTCTCTCTCTCTTTCTCTCTCTCTCATCATGTGATCACCATAACGAGGACAAACCTTGAATGGCGTTCCACCTTGTTGAAGTTTAACCAGAGATTGTTCAGTAGACTTTTTCTCACTAGTGTGTGAAAAAGTCCTGCAGTGAAAACTGTTTATGTACATTAAAAAGTTATCTCTTTTTTTTTTAGTTTATTTGTCGTTAACATTTACAAACACTTCCTCATCAGCTGCTCCACACGTCCCAGTGACATCAACTGACATTTAACAGACTGTAGAAGTACACATCAGCTCAGAGGTTAGACCACCGACACAGTCACTCACATTAACAGTGACGGCCTCAGAACAATCATAGCAGTCGTTGTAACAACCGTACAATGACTGTGTTCTTAAGGAGTTCATGCTTTTAATAGCCGTCAAACTTCACTCTCTCCAGACTGATGACCATACTGTCTTTTTCTCTGTTTGTGGTGATTTATCGTCACGCTTTAACTACGACTAGGATTCAGTTTCACTGTATTGTCTTCACACTTCTACTGTATTTTTAATCCTAATGTTTGACTGTGTGTCAACCAAAAAACACAAAAACTATTAAAAAATAAGTTAAATAAAAAATATGTTGATGATGGTTGTTGAAGAAAAATTCCCAGTTGTTTTACATTAAACCCCAGTACAGTATTTTGTAACAGTTTTTGTGCTGGATCATTTTTCACGTCCTCCCAAAGTCTTCCATTCACTCACTGGAGACTGTCTGTGTTTTTACAGTTTACGCCACCACCGCTGCAAACTCCCATGAATCCTCCTACGCCTGTTACTATGACGAGAAGAGGGGAACCTACCTGGGTGACTGGTACAGCGTGAACTGGATGGAGGACTCAGACGTGGTGGGTGTTGATAATGACGTCTCATCACCTCTGTATAAAAGGGAAAAAAAACATGTTTGAACAAAGTTTTTAGTTTAGTTACTTTGATGTCTTAAAATGTGGTCTCTTAAAAATAATCATAATAATGACAGTGCTAAACCAGGTAGGGAGATGAGAGCCAATCAGAGCTGTGTTCGTAGGCTAGGACGCGGAGCATCCAGGTGGTGTTTCATTCATAGTGGACCTGTCTCTGGTCGTATATACTTAGATATAGTAAATCGCTTCTATACAATTCATTGTGCAATAATGTAATAATACTGGTAATAACAATCATTAGTTAAGTAAATTTCATAAACATGCAAATGTTTCATTCTAGTTGACTAATCCTACTTTAACTAAAAGAAATATTTTTGATTTTTAAAACTAAACTGATATTAAAACAGTATTGACTAAATTGCAGACCAAGACCAAGTTCCAGTTCAGTCAAAAAGCTGAATCTAAATCTGAGTTAGTTGTCAAATGAGCACTGGTTGAAAACATTGAAACTCCTGAGTTGTTCACCGTCCAGTCTTTTCTATGAACGATCG